TGTGAAGTCGTCCCGTGGCGGGATGAAGCCGGCGTCCGCGAGGAGGTGTCTCTCTCTCCCGGTCGGCGCGTCCCGTGTGCGGACGCATCCTTCCCCCCCACCCCCGGTTGAAAAGGAAGTTTAGAGGAAACAGTTTGCTTGGTAGTGGTGTTTGTTGTTTCCCCCCGCCCCTGGCGCCTCGAATCTCTCTTCCCCGGCTCTGGCGAGCTCGGTCGTGGAGGACGTCGCCCGCTGGAAACGCGTCTCCGCCCTTGGCGGCCGTAACGGGAGGTGTTCGGCATTCATCCGTTGATAGGAAATTTTAGGAAGTCGCGTGGGCATGTTTAGGATGGGAACAGCGTGCGGGCCTTCACGAGGGCTGGGAATGGAAAGCGACCCCCTCTGTTGTTTTTTTTTGCTTCGTCCGTGCTCGGTGGAGACTAATTGCGTGCGAGGGTCGTGCATCGGGTCCTTTCTAGGCACGGGGAAGCTTTTGTGCGGTTGGTAACGCGCGAGCGCTTGGCACGGACCGGAGAGGGGGAGCGAGACGCTGCCTCTCGAGCGGCAGGCCGGCGGCACCTTTGTGTGCGAGTAACGGGATCGGACTGACGGGTGCCGACGGTCGCTTTTTTTTTTTCCCTGTTCCCGATCGGTTCAATAAATGCAGCGTCCGCGTCGTGCTGCAGTACTAAATCTCCCTCCTGGGGAAGGCGCTTGGAGATGAAGACAGCCCCGCAAGCGTCAACCAGGAGGCTTCTGGAGCCAGCTATACCTGGCGTAAGCAGGTCGAACCGATTTCCAGGCAGCTGCATCTGCTCGCGCCAGGTCCGACTGCACTGTGCCAAAGCAGAGTTACGTCGGTGCCATTAAGACGTCCCTCCGAAAGGAAAACGGGACTTGTCTTGCAGCCTTTGCCCTGAGCCGTTTGCAAACGACGCTTCCGGCAGCAGCATCGGTGCGGAGTTCAATCAAAACAGAAACAAACTGTACCTGAGTAACACTCGACTGCCGTGTGTAAATGGAGCCTGACCTGCTTCGGTTAGCCCTCGCTCCCACGCAGGTCTAACCAACGACTTCCTCTTCGGGCACGTGGTGTCATACCTAAACAAATAGGCGGGGGGAGAGGAAAATTTGACGTGATGCAGCAAATCTGCATGAGTCAGTGCTGCCTGCTTCAGCAGACGGAGGATGGGACTGTGTGTCCGCTAACCTCTTGCAGTTGCCTTGCTGATTGAAGAACGCTTGTCCCTCCCAGGAGAGTGTGGGTTTCTTACTGCTTTGATGGACTCGTCTTTCCTATTTTTACTAATGCTTTTCATTCCGCTGTTTCAACAGGAAGGTGCCTGGCAAGGCAGTCAAAGCCAAATAAATGTGCATACTTGATATCGCAGGGGGGAAAAAAGCCATCTAGTATGTATCTGGGCATTTTAAATAAACAGTGCTTTTCTTTTTCCCTTCTGCAGAGCAAAGAGTAGAAGATGTACGACTGATTCGAGATCAGCACCCAACAAAAATACCAGTAAGTGCAGCTGTTGTCGCTTAACTTCCAGGCCTCGCTTCTGTCCCACGGTGAGGGAGCAAGCGAGCCAGGAATGAGTCGGCTGGGTCTCTGGGACTGAGGGTTGTCCTTTTAGGGTGACTTGGATCTGTGGAGTCTGAGACTTGTTTCCCAAGCCCGGGGCTGGAAGGTGGCAGCTCCTGCCTGGACGCAACGTAGGCTGCTGGGGTATGGCCATGTTGCTGTGTGCGATTTTTCTAGCAAAACTGCACCTCCAAGGATCCAGTGGCAGCCCAAAGTCTTGCTTTTCAGAGCTCAAACCAGAATGTGCGTCATGGCCTTGATAGAGGGGAATGAGGATGCTTCCATTGTGAGCAGGACCTGGAAGGATAGGCACTCATTTGTACTTTGGTTTGAGTTCTGTGTAAGGACCTGCGCTGAGGAAATGTACCTAAGAGAAGACACGTGTGTGGATCCTGTGGAAGTGCCACTACCCTGATGGCTTGTTAGCTACCCTGTTTGGGTTGGGCTACAGGAGGGGTTGACACCTGTTGTCAGCTGCAGTCCTTTCACCCTCTCCTGTCTGATTTGCTATTTAGCCAGGGCCACCCTGCTTGTCTGAACTATCCTCTCTCTTCAGGTTTTGCCCCCTGCCACCTCCACTGTGCTGCTTGTTGTAGCGGTGGTGGGGGCATTGGTGCATTTACAGCTGCCTTGTCCTCTGGACTTCTTCAGGGGCAGGTCGCCTGAGGCTTGCTGATGCTGCCAGTGACTGGTGAATTAGGAGTCCCTGTTCTTGCCACGGTTGCTGCAGTCTGAGCTTATCTCTGCAAATGCTAGGATAAAACAAAGCTTGAAATCCAAAGGAAACTATTCCAGCGGGAGCAATGCCGTGCTGCTAATAAGGCTGTGCTTAATTGGTCGGTCTCTGCATGACAGTTGCCTGCCTCCCTTATTTCCCATGGAGTGCGCTTGCTTTATGGCCTCTTACTGAGGGGTGGGGGAGTGCCTTGCTTCTTTGCAGACAGAAGTAATAATGTCATCAGAAACCTCAGTGCTGGAAGCTGATTATCATCAGTGGAGGTTCCACTGCAAGCAGCTCTTGCCTAAGTTATGAGAGAGCTTGTTGCCAAACCTGGGGTTGCACTCTCCACTCAAAAGGAAAATGGAAACTGAACGTGCCTGAGCTGGCTCTCAGCCACATTAACTTCCCTCTGACCAAAATAATGCTGTTCTTTCCAGTCTCAGCAAGGTCCACTGCCACTAGACAAAGAGAGCAACAGCTTTTTTAGCCAGGTCTGTGTTTAAGCTGGCTCCAGAGGAGATGATGCTGTATAGACAGTGCTATATGTCCAGTATTGGAACTGTGCTGATGGCAGGTCTAAAATCCCTGCTTGTCTTTTCATCTTTTGACCAGAGGTGCGTGCACATGCAGCTGAGCCCTGGAGGAGCTGCCACACCTAAAAAGAAGCAAGATTGCAAGTGGTTATAACCACTCGGAGTCTGACCTTTGCTCTTCTTGCATGCTTTTAAACTGAAAATAATGCAAGGGTGGGAATCCCCTTGGAGCTGCTTGCACCTGCTTCCAGTGCATCATTGGAACTGAATTTTTCTCTTTTTCCAGGTAATTATTGAAAGGTACAAAGGGGAAAAGCAGCTTCCAGTTCTGGATAAAACCAAGTTCCTGGTACCGGATCATGTTAACATGAGTGAGCTGATCAAGATCATCAGGTAGTATGTTAACATGTGCCAGATCCAAATCGCAGTCTCGTTCACTAGTTTGCTAGTGGGTGAATGTGTTGGGTGACCCTTTAAACCAGGGCTCTCCAACTTCTAAGTGGCCCAGTCCTCCATGCTTCCAGATCATAAGTTGCTCCATGTGGTGGGCATCCCAAGCATTTATAGACATGTTCTGGGAAGCGGGGGTAGGGGTGCTTTAATTAGCACAGCTCTGAGAGCTGTGAACTAAAGCTTGTCGACTGAGCTTTAGTTTAAAGCACCCCTCTACCATTGTTCAGCGCAGGGAGGCTGATGCACGTGACTGGAGTCTGCTGGAGCGCAGTAATTCCCATGCTCCAGCAAACTCGATTAATCGAGTCTGCACCGATGCGCTGTAATTAAAGCACATTGAAGTAACCTCCCTGCACATGTATGGGAGCACCTCATGTGCTGTGTTGCCCTGTCCTGCCCCTCGTAAGGGGTGGGGGCAGGAAGCTGGAGAAGCCTGTGGGACAGCCTGCTGGCAGCATAGGGGAGTGGTGGGAGGAAGAGTGGCATCTGGACCGTGAGCCTGTGGCCCCCAGTTGGACAGTCTTGCTTTCAAAAATGGGCAGGTCTACACCATGTACTTGCAGAAAGGCGGTGGTGTACACCAAAACCCTGCCGTGGTGCAGGAACATCCCCCGAGCTGGCATATGGATGTTATGTAGAATAGGCCTTTTGTTCCCTGTGCGCCTAAAACTTCAGCTCAAGCTGGGTAGACGCTAGCCGCCACGTAAGGCGGAAGCCAGGCTGCCTTAGATTGTACCACTGCAGAAACGTGGTAATGATGCAGTTTCCATCATGTCCCATCTTTCTGGATCAGTCTGCTTGATTTTTATTTTTCCCTTCCAGCCAGTGGGTGAGGGGATTGCTCCACTCCAAAACCCAAGGTCTCAAGAATAAGCATGTGCTTTCCTCCCCGTCTTCCTACTTGGGGTCTTGCAACAAGGCCACCATCCCCCTGCAGATGATTTAGTGTTTGCAGGGTCAGAGGCGGGGCCCATCCTGTCAGGGCTGCCCAAGAAAATAGGCTGCTACTCGGAGCACTTGGCTTCTCAGGCATGTGTAAACCATGTCAAAAGTCATGGCTTTGTCCTTCACGCTGTTGTCCGTCTGGCTTTTCCTCTCCCACGTTTGGGGCTTCCAGTTCCCGAACTCCACAGAAATGGCTTGCCTTTCTTGTGATTCTTACACCCTAGATTAAGAGTGTTAAAGAAAATTATTCTTCATGGAGGCTTGCGGCGCATCCTGCCTCGGGGAGCCTTTCTTACCTCCTCCTGGTGCCCCCGAGATTGGCATCTGTAACGTGTCTCTCCTTCCTGTAACAGACGGCGCTTGCAGCTGAACTCGAACCAAGCTTTCTTCCTGCTGGTGAACGGACACAGCATGGTGAGCGTCTCGACGCCCATCTCGGAGGTGTACGAGAGCGAAAAGGATGAGGATGGATTCCTTTACATGGTCTATGCCTCTCAGGAAACCTTTGGAGTGCACTCGGCTGTGTAAGGCTTCTAGCCTAGGATTTTGGTTTGACCCTCACGCCCCAGGAAAACGAAAGGGATGTCACTCTGCCCTCAGTACCATAGTGTAGTCTTGCTTTAGCAGGTGTTCTCATCTTGCCTTGCCTTGTTTGTGGATATTAAAGAGATGAGTGCCAGTACAGACAGGCAGATCCTGCTTTGAAAACCTGCTGTAATATTTAACACAGGCACACTTAAGTTTCTGGACTCTGAATGGAACCATACCTTGCATATGTAAATAGCCAATAAAAGGGACACTCAGCTGGCCTTTGTAATAAAGGAATTGGCACCTTTTCATGTAGTGAACCCACGTGTCTCAGTGTGACATCTTTGTGGCAAATCCCTCTACAATTCCTTAAAAAAAAAAAAAAAATCCAGCTTGTCAAGGAAAGGGTTGGGTTTTTTTTTTTGTTCTACTGGAGAGCAAGGACAGGGAATATCCTAAACTTTTGGGTCAAGCTATGGAATTGCTCTGCTTCGGTGCTTGCAGTCTGTTGCAGCACATGGTTGGGAGGGAAGTTTATCATCTTTCTTGGTACCGCTGCTGTATAAGGAGGTGCCAGATAGTTAAATATTCCCATTGAACACCCCAGCTTTCCTCTAGTTTTAGGAAGTGCATATGTTAAGGTTCTTAGGCTAATAGCAGTGAAGGCTGGAGATTTCTCTCAGCATTTTGTATTTTGACTGATATACTGCTGCTCAGTAGCATCTTGTTTTCCTTCTAACCTGTAGGGGTCTCTTTTCTTTGCCTCCCCTCCCCCCCACCCCCGTGCAACCTGGAAAATAGCAGGTGGGCAGGGTTGGTGCAAAGAAATGACTTCAGTAAACAAGACTGTGGGGATAGATGCAACCAGTTGCAAAGCAGGCTAATGCAACTGGAAAAACGAATAGTGCCCCATAATGTTGCGTCTTTGGAGTTCTGCCTGGTCCCTCCTCCACTCTCGCTCCATCTTCACAGCTGTGTGGTTACCTATAAGCTCTATGGTGCATCCAGGCCTTCTCATGTGTTGTACACCCATCCATCCTGGATTCAGATCTGCTGCTGGAAATATGAATCCAAACTGCCTACAACCGTCTGTCACTTGTTGTGCATGTTATAAGTGAGGGGGTAGGGGAAAGTGCTCTGTTTTAAAAGCATTTCACGTTAGGAGCAAATGGTCATCCCATCATTGAAGTCTCTTGCCACTTGCATGTGGCTGAAAAATCTTGGCATTGCTGTTGTCACTATAAATAGGGGCTTATCCTGTGGAGAAGGAATGTCTTGAGTAGGATCACTGTCCTTCTTCTAGAGTTGATGTTGTAAAGTGGAGTGCAGCAGACTGAATAAGAGTTATCTTTATATGACACACATCCGTGAACTAATTGCATCTGTTACTGAAAGTTAACTTGCTATAATTGGGGGCGGGTGGGGAAAAAAGCAATACTACTGCATCTTGGCACTCTAGATCAATAAGGTGTACAGTTTGTATCTGCTGACACCTTTTTGCATGCATCTTGTTCAGTGCTTATTTCTAACTTAAAAACAATTTTTTTTTTAAACGTTCGTTGTGTTTTTACTTCAGCGTAAACTTTTCAGTGCAGCTTGTCCTATGTTTTTATAGTTTGGTTTATGTAAAATCATGGTTTCACTTGAGACTGACAGCCATTCTTGTAACTACTGTGTTCGATGACTGAGATTCCTGTACAAATGTTGCTTTTTTAAAAATTAATACAGTGCTGAAATGGATGGATTACATCCCAATGTAATTGCAGCTTGAGTGGTTATTTATAGACTTCCTTGCCTTAAACATCCATTAGCAGAAGGGGAGACAGTAGTGACAAATGCCACCTGTTTCAGTGCATGGCTGAATGATGTTGGCCTGGCAGGTCCCAGTGCAGACGAATAATCTCTAGTGATGCCCAGGACACTGAATAAATAGTATTGAAATAGGTTTGTGCCTGGATGTTCCACTCAGCACTTAAGAGGAGTGTTAGCTGGAAATAAAGGAGGTATGTGGCCATCCTAAACCAGCCCGACTGCCGTTTTAGAGCAGGGAAGGATGGATTGTGTAACTGTAATTGTAACACAGGGATAATAATTAGCTACCCACGGAGACTTGTGTCTGATAGTAAATGGTTTAAATGCTTTCTAGGGGGAACACCTACTTCCTAGCCCACAGCTTTTCAATCAAGACCTTCCTGTCATTCAAGAATCTCCAGCTGGCTTTCTGTTCAAAGCTGAAATCTAAATTGCTGGAGTTTAGTTGGAGGAACAGAGCGGTTTAAAAGCATGATGCATTTAAATTGCTATTAAGCCATCTTCACTGAGCAGTCCATAATGACCCAGATGAGACTGACTAGTATGGTACTAAAACAGCAGTGCGGATGGCAGAATTTAGGCCTGCAGCAGTTTAAGACTGCAGCCTTTTAAAGGAACATCTCCGGCAGGAAATCACTCGGTGGTTTCTGCATACATTACCGTAAGGACACAGTGCAACAGAACTGGGATTTAAAGTGGCTGCCCTCAGATTTTGAAGATGTGCTTAGTAATTCCTGATCTTTAGCCACTGGAGACCGGCAGTGTAATCCTGCCTGCATCCTGGGACAGTCCCAGCCAATGCTCACCACAGAGTCGCTGGTGACTAGGACAACAAGCAGCCTGCCGCACAAAGGCCCACATTATCAAGGGCTCAACATAATCTGCAGGACAGCCTTGAATGCCCTTGACTCAGCCGCAGTGGTTCTAGAGAACAGCAGCTGCAAATAGACGAGGTGACAGCCCTCAGCCAGTGACTTGGATTAAAGAGAACTTTACCTGTTAAGAAAGGTGCACCTCCACCCTGCCTTTTACCTGTACGGTTTATTCCTGGTACTTACCCGCTTGAGTTGGAGAAGCCTAAAAGAATAAAGAAATGCTGCTTAAGCACTGTTTAACTTTTTATTTTCCATACATTAAATTTACTCAGATAAAAACATTCTAAAAATGTACAATTTTACCTTTAACAAAGTATAATAAAACATAAAAATCCCAATACCAGAATACTTGACATTTACAGTTCAAAATCAAATTAGCTGATATTAAATATTTACAAAACTATTTAAAATATTTATAAAGTTACATGCACAATTTGTAATACTAGAATTGACTGAAGTAAAAGAAATGGCTCAAATGGGAGTAGGAGTTTCCTTCATTCCTAATGGAAAGTTACCTCCAAAAGAAGCTGTTAATCTGCACTTCAAAACACACAGGATTTTGCTGTTTCAGTACCAAAACATTTCTCAACTACCTAAGAATTTAACAGAGACAACAGGTAGTCCCAAGGGTTTGTTATGACACAGATAAAGTCATGGATATTGGTAGCGGCCTCCTTTAGTACGGATGTAGTAACATTTACCTTTGGCCTCAACAAACAAAAATGGTTTTCTATAGACTATTGCAAGCATTTACGTTTATTGAGACTTTCCAAATGTTCCCCCAACTGAAAAGGGAAGTCTGGAGAACCCAGAATGCATGGCTTCGAGTGTCAGTGACTTCCAATACATGCTTTTTGGGACTGAGATCCCTGTAAAAGTAATGGCAAAATCCAATCATTTGGGGTGGGGGAGTGCATTCCGCTCGTTTTTTTTAATTTTCTAATTTCTTTGCCAAATACAGTGAATGAAGGCTTTCGATACCTTGGTATCATCACCACAAAATCAGCAAGCAATAAAGGGCATAAAATGCAAGGGGAGGCAACCGGAAGAGGGGTTGGTTTATATCGCCATTTCACTTGATTCCTGGCAGGGTGCTAGCAGTTGTGTTTTACAAGCCGCTTGGGAAATTTCACAAAATATGAAAGCTGATGTAGCAGTTTAGGAAAATTTACTACAGAATCCAATGATCAAAATACCCCGCTTGGTAAGACAACTCTTCCTTATTGAACCTCCTGTAGTTTAGTGTCCAGCATGAATGTGAATTCGCCTCTGCTGCTGAGTTTCTGAACTATAAGTGTTGATAATTTTATTCTACTTCACCAATATGTCACACATCAGAAAGACTATTCTGAAACTTCACTATGCACCATTTACTCCTCCAAAGTAAAGACAGAGCTATAATCCACCCCGCGATTCTTATGCTGCAATGAAACGACAAGCTGAACGCGACAAGGGGTCGCCCTATTGTTTTGCATTTTTAAACCATCAGTTTTACCCTACAGGGGAATCCCGTTAGAGAACTAACCAAGTTTATACTTGCAGGGCAAAGGTATGAACAAACAGCTAATTCTGTGTATTTTCCATATCTGTACCTACGAGAGTAGGTTTTACGAGCTGGTTCGTTCAGTTACTGAGACTGGAACTGCTATTCCAGAGCCTAGCTGCCTAACTGGGGGGAAGACAGAGGAAAACAGAAGGATTTATGCCTTTTTAAAAATGGATTAAGAATCATTTTATGTATCTAAAGTGCTCCGTATAGGCTCACCAACTTCGGTTGTTCTTGGTACGAAGCAAACATACTGTACTAACAGATGTGAAGCTACAACTCCTTTTGATTCAGGGAAAACTCTCAGAACAGTACTGGTTCTTCAAACAAGTATCTGTGCATTAAGTGCATGTCCCTTCAATTTACTCATGCTTCTGAATACAAACTGACTTTAAGATCAGGTTTAGCAGTTTTAAAAATGTACCTGTAAGTGCACGTAAGCCCCTTGAGGAAACATCAGCCTTAACTTTACATAGAGGAAGCAATCCTGAAGACCGTTTTGAACATAGGAATGAAATGGTTTTTAAAGAAGTTTGCTGGACAGGAGTTCAGTCTTAGTTTCATGCTCCTGGTGACCCTTTTGACTTTCTGATGAATATTAGACCAGACTATGCTCCCAACCATGGCCACTAAAGCAAAATATCACAGAAAAATATTAAGTTTTTTGCTCTTGTTGTTCGGTCTTTTGTGAGGGTTTGTAATACTTGCATGTCTGGTGAAATACAGTTTATTTAAATACAGTTCGGTTTTAAAATATTGTTTTAAAAAAGTGAAAAAATGTTAAAGTTTGGCTTTCAGCACATGTTCCAGGCCACTGGAGAGACCCTCAAAATCTTAAATAGTAAACATTTTAAGTGAAAACTGCAAGTGTCCTTTAACGTAACACAGCATGACAGGTTGTTCCTCCCATTGTCTCAAGCTCATTAAGGCAAAGTAAATTGCATTGTCAGTTTTCATCACTTTAGTGTTGTAGGTCTGAACGTTGCTCGCGAACCTCCTTACAATACAGGCATAGCAAACATAACTTCCAATATTGCAAGCAATGCTGTGTGGTGTGAACGGAACCATTTAAGGATACAGAAATATGGAGCTCCCGAATTGCATAGAAATAAGAAAGAACAGATTTTCTTTTTAAACCAAATGTTACACAGCTTTAGACTTTGGTTTTCATGAAGCCAAAAAAAAATGGTATGACCTCCAAAGATAATCTACCTGGAACAAGGTTGGTGTCTTGTCGCCTCAGGTGACAGTGGTTCTTCGGAGGTACTAATTGATCGCGCTGCCCTAACCTGCTGGCGTTTCATGATGAGGCTGACCATCCATTTTGAGCAAATGGAACTGAAGAATGGCCCACACCTTCAAATTCTCGCTAACATTTCCAGAAAAATCTTGACGGGCAACTTACTGCATTGGCTGCTCAAACCAACTTTTCGGTAGCTAAGGTCTCATTGACCTTGAGAAGCTTTGCCCCAGTGTAAGAAGTGCTGTACACTGCACCAGCACAAATGCTTTGTTACACTGGCGTGACTACACTGGTGGAAAAGCAATTCCCAGCATAAGCAAGACCTCAGATTTTAATGTCGTCTTCTGGGTTTGAGTACACAAAGATCGCTATACGTTTCAGGCCTGTGTCTCCTTGGGCAAGTCAGGAGGATTTGCGTGTTTCTTCATCAAGACAGGACTACACTGTTTCAATTCAGCAACACGAGCTTGGTTCGGCTACCTCCCAAGTCTCAATTTCAATTTGCCGCCTCGCAATTCTGTATTCTAGGTAGTTAACCCCAAGGCAATCTACAATCTACCGCAACAAAGGAGGCCGACAGTAAATCCTTCAACGTCTTGACGATAATGTAAGTTACTACCTTTTACATGTTTGACTTCTACCACCACTGAATCCTGTAGCCGAAGCCCCGGGGTAGGAGTCAAAGTTTCGTTCTATCAGGTAAAGCAACAGCTTGCAAACTCTGCTGCCAGAGTTTATTTTTTAGGATGGTTTAAAATTCATTTACAAAACCATAGTAAGGTTTCTGTGAAAGAGACCTATATACAGTTACAGGGCATAAAAGCTGTTTTGTGTGTTACAGAAAAAAAAGAAGAAGAACATCTGTATTCTTGAAGCCTTAATGACTCTGGAGTCTCTGGGACATGGACCCTTGGAAACTAAGTTTATTCAGCTGTCGGTAACCCAGCACTCTCTAGTAGCAAAGGTGATGGTGAAGAGGAAGGTTGTTTCCAGAAGGAACTGGAATTGCCGTGCGTCTTCTTTTGGAGGGGAAAGGAGAAAATTACTCAGGATTTTTATATAAGTCACATAGCCTGCTGGTGCCAATTTTAAAAGTTGGAACTTCTTTGCCTCTTGCACTGGTCTCAGAGCGACATGGTCTGCTAAAAGTGCAGAAAGCTTGAATAGTTTTACATTCTTCTGTAGTGCAATTCTTAAAAATCCCAGAGATTAGTGCCTGATCACTTTTGAAAAAAAGTAGACATTTTACCTAGCCCAGGGGTGGTCAAAGGCCCTCTGGCGAATGGCCACTCGTACCTTCAACCTCCGGCTCTCATCTCACACCGCAACGTAGCTGCCCTGGAGTTATGCATTTCATCTTGGAAGGTCCAAATATGGCAACATTCTTCAGCGAAAAGAAAAGAAAAAAAAAAAGCGTAGGGTTTTTCTTTTGTTTTTTGTATTTGCAACAGAAAACATAGTTGGCCACCTTCACCTGCCGTCCTGCACGCATCAGTCACATGATACGTACTAGGCAAGTTCCAACACCAAGATCCAAGCTTGAATTTTGGCAATCAAAAATGGGTTTGTTGAACCCCTAAGCTAGATTTTCTACCTAGTCTAGTAAAGTAAAGCACCTTTGGATTAAAAATACATTAAGCTTAACAGCAACTGGACGTCTCAGTTTTGTATTTAAATGTCCTTATATCTCCATGGCTTACAGCGTTTTCTTGCCAGAGAAAATGTCAGTCTGTGGAGTCGAGACTTTCAGATGGAGGAGCATATTTCAGCCTAAATGTACCTGGAGGAGAGGAACAAAGGGAAAAAAGAAGGAAGTCAAGTGCACAACATTTTAAACATCTACTTATTGAAAAGATAGGTTGCAGAATAAAACCAGTAGCTCATCTCTTCACTATGAAGCTACAGGAAATGCCTGTCAGGGAGATGTCTAGTACTAGCAGGAGGAGTGGGAAGTAAAAATACAGCAACACACAAAAAGAAGGCAAGATGCAGTGGTTGCAATGCAATTTCAAGAGCAACAAAAGTAATTCAAAACAGATTAAAAAGAAATGATGAACTGCAGCTTTAAACTGCATTACCGTACTTCTCTGATCTGGGCCTGATTAGGACACGTTCACATTCTTCTAATCTGCCATTATCAAAATATTATGGCCTAAGAACACCACTAATTTTCTGTACTGCCTCTTGGGGTCTATTATTAAATCGTATTTAAGTGCTGATGGCATGGTCTGAACCAGGGGTGGGCAAAATGCGGCCCGGGGGCTGCGTCCTATCTGGCCTGCGTGGCCCCTAAAAAATTTAGAAAATTAATATTTATCTGCCCTGGGCTGCCTGTCATGCGGCCCTTGATGGCTTGCCAAAACTCAGTAAGCGGCCCTCTACCCAAAATAATTGCCCACCCCGGCTATACAATACAAACACAGACATGGGCCATACTCAAGATGATCTAAAATCTATCGCTTTAGTTTCCCAATTTTAGCCAAAAGTTTGCATTTTATTCTGCTAGGCAATACTACACGTACAACATTTTAACCAATACGTCAAGAAAAAAGAGAGCTATGACCTGAATATACTCCTGGTATGGCAATATCTTACTCCCAAATGCGTCTGCCCTGGCTCAAGGATTTTAAATCTCTTCTGCAGAAGGCTTTGCTATGACAGAGTCTACGCACTGGAATGTGCATTTCCAGCAACTCTGACTCAAGTCCTTCAAAGGGATGTCTCTCCCTCTGCCTGAAGAAGGGTTTTTGTACCCAAAAGTCTGCAAAGAACAATTTTTTCCAACTATTTAGTTTGTCTAATAAAAGATACCACATTTACCCAAAGAACCTTGTCTGTCAAAGGGATGTGCATACCTAGTTAAGATGATGGCCCCTACTTATTTTTTAAAATATTTTATGAACTTCTGGGATAACCCCATGTTCAAAAATAAAAGGATGACTTGGGGCTGAACTGACAGATGGTGTCAGCAGCAACAACTAGGTCAGACAAAGACACTGCACTTCTTCCTTTCTTCAGAGACCAATTAATTCTCAACAGGGGTCCAATGCACGACACTCACACGTGTGTTCCAGTTAAGCCACCACAACAGGGCTTAAGTTAGGCATAAAACTGGGGTTGGTTCTGTGCACCAAAATAAATACCATTTCTATGAAGTTAGCCCAAAAGTTCATCATCCCTTAGAAGAAAAGGGCTTCGAAGAACTGGATGCTTGTCTGGGATTATGCAAAACTTGGTATAAAGAAAAGCTATCGCCATTAGATTCACTGGTCCCTCAACTGCATGGAAACTCCCATTCACATGAATCTGCAGCTCTGCACACAGACACCCCTGCATCAGCACCAGTTTCTTACCTTGCCGATTGAAATCCATTGGTGGCTGCTTGCAGTCCTGAGCTCGGTGACCACTGGCCCCACAGTTGTAACAGGAGAGGTTCCCATTTTTTTTGTGGTTTGAACCATTGCTGGTTCCCATCATTCCCTGTGCCTGGTACACTCCCGCTGTCCCTGCCATAAAGTTCTGCATGGGTGGTACTGCAAACGCGGACTGCCCGCTCATGACAGAGTCTGGGGTTAAACCACTGTTGTAAGGAGAGTGAACCATTGGGAAGGTTGTGCTGCTGTTGTACTGCTGCGTGTTGATGTAGCCGTTACTACACAAAGGATTGAAGGGCAGAAATGGAAAAGTAAACATTGAAGGCCCTGAAAACGGGTGCTGGAAATAGTTCGCATAACTGACAGTCAGACCACTTGAGCCACAGTTCCCACTACATCCACAGGAGCTACACACCATGCAGCCAGGAGGCTGCTGCTGCTGTTGGTGGTGGTGGTGATGGTGATTCTGATTTGGTACCGGGATGTTCCCTGCAGATCCACTGCTGCTGTTGCTGTTGCTACTGCTGCTGCTGCTACTGCTGCTATAGAAATTGTTCTCAGCGGCTGATGACAGTGTGGGGCTAGAACTGGGTACGGGACAGCTGGGCAAGTTTGCCATGTTTGCGAATGACGTGGATGGATGGCTGCTGGAAGAGGCAGTGTTATTGTTCGCACAGAAGCTGCCTGGCATCGGGGCCACTGGCATACTGCTCATTGCAGAAAAGGCAACTTTGGTGTTGGCTGTATAGAGAGCAGTTCGGGGATTTATTATTGCAGGGGACATAGTTATTTGCATATTACTGGAACAGGATGTCTGCCCAGCAATGGCAGAATCAGTCGGAACCGAAGAAGATACCAGAAGCTTCATGGGTGGACGAGCCATTTGGAAGACTGTGCTGGATGTCACGCTGGGAGCAGTACTCGTTTCCACGATCAGTGCTGGCTGTTGGGGTGTCTTTATCACTCGGTCCAGACTTGAAGCGTGTACAACTTTTGTCCGATGACCAAAGTTAATTGTAGACGCGGGTGAACTGTTTTCTGGAACTCCTGAGAGCACTTGCAGAGGCTGATGAGAGGAGGTTGGCGTCACATCCACCACTGTATTCCCAAAGCTCTTTTCCATTTTAATGCTGCTTCTGGCTCCAGGTGAAACTTTATTTCGTTCTTCTAAAGACAGAAGTGAAAGAAGCTTCATTTCTGTATTTCCACGCTCTGATTTATGAACTGAATTCAGCATTCGACTAGGAGTGATGTGGGTAGAGGCTGCTGGCATCACTTGCATTGACAAGGTATGGTGGCCGGACGGATTGGAGCCAACATCGTTCTGCACTGGTAGAACCTGAGCTGTGGGTCGGGCCGAACTGGATGTAAAATGATTCAGTAACATCACAGGTTTCTCCTTTTCTGAACCGTCCAAGTGAATCTCTAAACCTAGAGGCAGAAACAGATCTATAAATACAACTGCTTTGTCAGACAAGGCAAATCAAATGCAAACAGAAGCTTTGCTCGCTTTCCCTTACGCCTCTCATTCTCCTCAGCACTGTCCGAGCTCTCCTCTCTGGTGTGGATCCCCATGGGGCTGGAAGAGGAGCTGGAGTATTCAGAAGAACTGCCTTCTCGGGGCAGAGGGTGGGATGGCTGATCCACATCTACACGCAGCTCTAGGGACAAACACGTGATAAATCAGGGAAAACGTGAAAACTAATGGCAGAACTGTCATCTGGGCATCAAAAGCCTAGTTACAACACTGCAGCTGATGGGTATTTTCACAACACCATGGCCATTAAAACAGAGGAATGGTTCAGCCTCATAATGCTTCATATTGGCCCAGGGAATACAAGTCCAGAGGACCAATGGTTAGTCACCAGCAAAACCAGCGCTTCATATGCAAGCCACGGAACTGCAATTACATCTTCATCACTCAAATATCCTCCCAGGAATAAGATCTTTCAATCATCAAAGATCATAAAGGACAAGAACACATGAAACAAGTCAGTTCTAATCTGGGGGCTGGAGCAGCAAAGCCGTGAGTTTTTTATTGTGCAGTAAGATACCCAGCCTAACCCTGGCAGCAGCGCACTGTTCTTTACATTGTGTATTTACCTGCAGCATGGTTGCCACGAATATTCTGGAGAGGCCCTATGTGAGTAGTTGGAGGGACCCTAGCCACCCCGCTGCCAGTAACCGAAGAAGGTGCTGTTGGATTTAGGCACCGTTTCTCTGATTTTTCCCTATGCAGCCAATAAGGGAGAGGAGAAAAAGAAACATTAGTTAATACAAATGAATTAATACAAATGTACATTAGTACATGCATGTCTACAGCTGTACAACTAATACATTAGTTAATTCAAAGGCAGTGATTAAAGGAGAGGAGAAAAGGAAACATTAGTTAATGCAAACTAGAGCATTTATACGCTTCAAATGGCATTTTTTCTATTCCGTAGATCTCAGTTCCATAGATTCTCAGTTCTAATTAAAATTCCACATGTAAAGCGAGTATAACCAACGGAGTAATGTCTTCCTCAGCCTGCAGACAGCCCGACTTAGATATGGGAACTCCCTCCCGTCCATAGTTAATTCATTTAGGGGGTAGCCCCAAAGCTGGAAGATGAAACTTCACTATGCCTCTAACTATATGGGCACAGATCATTCTATAGCCAGGATGGGGAACTGAAGGAGACTGAAGGTAGAGGAGACGGAGGGGGAGTTTCTGCAAGAAAGAAATGCAGAGTGAAAAAGAAACATACGGAGAAAGAGAGGATGGGGGAGGGAAAACAGAGGATAGAAAAAGCATAATTCCTGGAAGCGAGAACATTTGGCCACTGAGTGAGTCTGCATGCAAGTTTATAATGAAACAATTAAAAGATTAGTTGCTAAACACAGGGCATATTCCATCCCCAATCTGGAAGCAAATCTCCTACCCACAAGTGTGCCCGTTCACTGTCAACAAAGGGGAGACTGCAGTTCTAAACCGACGGTCCAAGCCACTGCTCAGGAAGCAACGTGTCTCTCTTGAGCAGTATACCTTGGCCTACTGTGCCTTCACGCAAATGCTTAAGTAGCGGCCAGGTACAAAACCGGAAACAAGCAAGCAGCAGATAAAGAATGCAAACAGTAACAGGTAGTTTAGATCTTGTAAATTCTTCCAATAACAGTAATTTAAGAAGATGTTAGTTGCATAAGTAAAGAAATATGTTTACATTAGGATTAAATTAAGTGTTCCTTTAAAGCTGAGTTCATTTGTTCTTTTAGGTGCTTATCAGCTTTGAGTGCCTAATAATAAGGTAGTAAATGTTACATAGTAATCCACATTTCCAAAGTGTTTTTTTTTCTTTACTAATTAACCCTTCACCACTCCTGCGAGAAAGATAAGTAGTATCTAAATTTACAAGTGCAGAATCTTGGCAGGCTTATTAATTTGCTCTGCCTTCACAGTAAAAACCACTGTAAACCAGGGATTACAACTCCAGAGTTTGTAGGATCATAGAAAATGAGGGTTGAGAGGGACCTCAGGAGGGCACATCTAGTCCAACCCCTGCTCCAAGCAGGACCAGCCCCAACTACATCATCCCAGCCAAAGTTTTGTCTAGCTGGGTCTTAAAAACCTCCAAGGACAGAGAACCCACAGCCTCTCTGGGTAACCTGTTCAGAGCTTTACTACCCTCCTTGTAAGAAAGTTTTTTCTAATATCCAACCTAAACTTTCCTTGCTGCAGCTTGAGACCATTGCTCCTTGCTCCGTCTGAGTTCAAAGCTGTACAATACCTTATCTCACAAGCAAGAAAGTAGACAATCTTTACCCCAACACACACATGCACAAACTTACTTTTCCAACTCCAGCTGTGTCTTGAGTTTTTTCTTTGCTCCCATGGTGAGGGACTCAAATTTATTCAGATCTTCTTCAGTAAGGCTCAGAAACTTACAGGAGAAAGGATAGAGTTCACTTTAAAGCACACAATATGCTTACATCCATTTCAAATGACCTTTTTGTAGGCTCAAACATTCCAGGATTATCATTTCTGAGATGCATCTTTAAGACTCGCCGAAATACATGCCTTTTATGAAATTCTATTCCAGTTTCAAACCATCAGTAGCCTACATCAGTCATTCACAATAAAAAGAACAGTCTACATGGACACTGAAAGACATCTTTGTGTCAAAAAATGAACTAAACAAAGATCTGGTCCATCCGACTCCACCCACCAAACTAAAATTTCAAGGATTCTTCCCCAGGATCTTTAATACTTAATTTGACAGCATCAGGGATGGAAGAGCATACAGAAAACATGGTTTGGGGACTAGAAAATTAGGTACAAGGAACATGCCAACCTGGGGGAAAGATAAACTGCAAAGGGCAAATTAAGAACACAAATTCCTGGCACCCCTCTTTCCTGTGAGTACTTGATGCACCTGGCTCTCCTGGTAACCCAGGGAAGAGAGGTTTATAACAGCTAATATCTATCATGCAAGGGATCATCTCCACCCTTCTATTCCCCACCTCTTGACTGTGGGAAGGCAGGGCTCCCCTCCCTAGTGGTGAAAGTTGGATTCATTGGAGACTGGGGCAGGTTTAGCTCCATTCGTTTCACTTATCACTTGTCAAAAAAGGTTTTGATTTATGCTGATACTCTTCTGCTGCTGAAACATTATTCCGATTCCGGCTGAGTCTCAGTATACAAGAGATAAACCTACTGGTTATTCGAAGTTAAACTGTAACCGAGTTTTCCTGACTTTGCCATTTAATACAGAAATCAATTGACTCTCTCATCTAGAGCAGAGTTCATCACAGCTGCAAATCTACCGCAAATATTGTTTAACAGATTATACAAATCAAGATAAGCAGAGCACTTGTTTGAAAAGAAAAAGTCATCACATTAAAATATGCAGTTTTGACATTACAGATTTTCCATTTCTGAATGAGAACATTGACATAAGAAGATTGTAGCCTCAAACTATGCTCATTCAATGAATATCTTTCACAACATGGGGTAGAGGCAAAAGCCACTGTAATTCAGAGCCGTGACTGAAAATAACTGTAATTCAGAGCCATGACTCAAAAGAATCAAAGTCTGAATTTAATCCACCAGAGGGCGTTCAAGATTAAAATACAGCAGAAGGAGGAGGAGGTTAATTTTGCATGCTTGTTTCAGATACATCTAGGTGAGTATCATGAAGCAGTCCACGTATTCAATTAAAAACCCATGCACTTCAGTGTCATTCATGACCATTTTTACTTGAGCATCCAAAGGACCAATTTTTTTGTTCCAAAGAACATTTGTGGGAAATGAAGGTGTCGAACATGCATGCAGACATACACGCATAAAGGCTCAGGTAAGAAATGTTCATGAATCTGTCCTAAAATGTATCTAATAAGCAAAGCTTGTACAAATAGGAGGTCAACCAATCCAGAAGCAAAAGTAATACATTGTGGCCTAGGTGACCTATTGTACAGAAAAGCATAAGCAGAAAAAAAGTAAATGGTTTGTAAATAAGTCAGATTTTCATGTGTCCAAAGAATTCTGAACAATCAAATTATCTAAGTCTACAGGCCAAATTTCATCAAATAAATTATTCCTCCAAATACCTTGCCCAGTTCGAGCTGCAAACAACAAGCAATTCTAAATGCAGATGTTTTACCACTTCTCTTATCTACATGCTCCAGGACATATCAATTTTTAAAAAAACACATGCTGTTCTCCTACTGAATCTACCAACCTACCTTCTCCATTGTGAGTTGTTTGAAGACAGGATAGTACTTGTGCAACCGTAGTTTCCTGAGCCAGTCTAAAATCCCATTTTGCTCCTGGGGCTGGGGGGCCTGCGGACTGGAAGACATTAACATGGGTGAAGAGGTGTCCATCTGTGAACGGTAGGACAATGATGGACCAGTACTCCCTGAATGAGAGCAGTGGGATAGTGCAACGGAAGTAGCAGCTGAATGCTGTACGTGATTCTGAGAAGACTGAATGCCAGCTACTCCACATACAGGTCTGCAAAACAGAAAAGTAATTTGATTCAGCACAATGAATTACTGTCATGCCAAGTTCAGTTAGTGCGGCCATATGCACCCACCAATAAAATAAAGGGCAAAGTTTTGTGGTCAAATAAGCAGGGTGGTGGGTCGAAGTTACAGACTTATGCCTCTGGAATTCTCCGCTGGTAAAACAGTGAAAGCAGCGGCATTTATGTCAAATGTTAAAACAATGTTTTCAACTCTGGCACAGCTTTTCTCCCCTTTCTCCTCAGAGAAAATAAATACTTGCATTCTTCTCTTAATTCTTTCAAAAGTGGGTTCAGCAAGGATGGCAAACGGCTATTAATATACTATATAAACTGTGGGATAGTTTTTAAGCATGAGGAACAGAGGGTTTTTTTTTAATTATTTTTTTCTCTGTATTTCCACTTTAAATTGAAGAGAACAAGAACCCCCTGTCAAGTGTTAAAAAACTCATTTCTGTGTTGTAAAGTCCTAAGCAAAGGATGGGAAATATTTTTTTCCTTCACTTCTCATGGCTGGCTTGAAACTCCCTGGGAAGAAGTGTATATCTTTTCCCCAGGAAAACCAGCCTCACAAATTGAGAAACACTACTCTGCAGGGAGATATTTTAATGTAGCAGAAAGGAAAAAAACCACCCAGTGATTCCACGCCTCTAACAGGCCCTTAACAAAAACCTATTTATGCTATGGAAGATGTGACTATTTAATTACGGCTGCATCTATTATTACTTACTACCTTGATTCTGGTATAGCTTAGGAAAGGCTGCCCAACTGGTGGCCTGTGAGTGGTTAAACTGCAGCCCACGGGGCTTGTCATCACAGCTGCTAGAGCCACTGCGTTGGCATGGATCCAGATCCCAGGGGGGTGAATCCTGCTACTGCTTTGCTCCCCGCCAACCTCTTGCCCACCACTGCATTCAGGGTCTTCAGTCATCATCGGCAATTAAAACTGGCAGCAGGGGAAACGGGGGGCAAGCGGTGGCAACATTCACCCCCTGGGTCCCGGAGTTGGACCAATGCAGGGGGTCTGGCAGCTCTGCCACCGAGCTGCTGTCCTGCTGCTGGAGGTGGATTTATCTAGCCCACATAAAGCTCCATGGTCCAAGCTTTGGCCTGCAGGATCAAATGAGCTGGGCTCTGCTAGCTTGGGCTATCCCAGTGTGTTGGATGCTGTACACACGTGTAAAGACGTGACCTGGCCTACAGCACTCATCATATATGTAAAAGACAAGCAACAGATGACTACATCCCGTGCAGCAGAACACAAGGTAATGGTCAGACAATTATGACTAAATCAGTGATCATACAGGACTCTCCAACCACGGATGGAAGCTGGTTGTTATAGCCTGACCATGCTGAAAAACCCTGCCCAGACCAGGTATTCTCGGATTCACAGAAGGGACCACGGTGATGATCTTGTCTAACATGCTGTGTAGCACAGGCCCCTGGGATTTCTCTGAATTAATTCTTTTATGAGCTTGGGCATGTCTTGTAGACTGACATCCAATCTTGATTTAAGATGGATAGAGACTCTACCATGATCACTGAAGAATTCTTCCAATGGTTAAATATTCTCACTGTTAAAAGAATATACCTTATTTCTTATCTGAGTTTGTCTAATTCAACATTCAACCATTGGAGCCTATCTGTTAAATGGAACAGGCCATGATCAAAGTCTTGCTCCCTGGGTAGGGAGGGTACCTACAGATTGTGGTCAAATAGCCTCTTGTCTTCTCTTCAATAAGATAAAGAAATTCAGCTGCTGTCTCTCTCACTGCAAAGAATGCTATCTGACCCCTTCACTTTTTTTTAAGCATGCAATGTAAAAATGCCAGTGGGTCATCCATGCTCCCACAATTGCTAATACTGTTAGAACTGTGCCACGGTACCCAAATTCCCTAAAATCTTCTGGGTAGACAAGGCCAAGAAACAACATCTTTCAGGATCCAGTGCTGAGAGTTCCACATTTGAATATGGGTGAGGGTGCTCAACCAACTATATAAAATCTCCTTAAGGACAGAGAAAGAACTAAATGAAGGAATTTTACAATTCCATAAAACATATAAATCAAGGATCTCACCTTCCAGATGCACCCAGCGTAGTGCCTACTTTATAAAGGGAGGGGTTGCCAGGACCTAAAAACAGGGAAATCAAGGTTTGATTGGCATCAATTTACTTGATTTACATCAATAATATATGCATTTTTAAATTCTTGGTTTAAACTCACTTGAATTTTGAAGTTGTTGGGAAAGAGATGAAGTGCTGAAGAATTTTTTGACATGGTCATTTTTCAACACATGGGAAGGTAATGATGCCAAATACCTAGATGTTAATCAAAAAAAACAAAACAAAAACACCCAAACCTGTATCATGTTTGTTCTGAAACTGACTATGAAATAAAGACGGTAGTCTATAAATAAAATTCCAAACGTGATTATAAAATGGAAAAAGCAATCAGAAATCCCGCCCCGCCTTGCTAAAAGTAGGAATACTAGAAAATCCTGAAATAAACTGGACCTGGAATCTGCATATACCTCTTTTTCCAACAAAATTAATCAATTCCATTCCTTTATGCTGTCTCTATTCCAGTTACTATATTAAAGTCAGAGTTGATAAACTTATGAATACAAAAGGTTAGAACAGTAAGCAATTATCTGACAATGTGCAAGAATAAACTTGAACACTTCCTCTTAAAACCATGAAATTAAAGCCCACAATATGTAGTTGTCTAGTATTGTTCAGACATTCAGATAAACAGGAGGCGTAGCATTTGGCAGCATGGGAAAGAAAGGCTGTAAAACTGATGTCACGTGTTCTCTTTTACTGGTGTGTCTCTCAGGAAATAAAGCCGGCAATCTTTTAGGATTGTATAATGCATAAGCATAGGTTATATGACCATTACTGAAGTTTTTCTAATTAAGCTAACTAATACGTTTGGCTGCTTGCATCAGCCAAGTGTGTGTATTTTGAACGTATCCAATAAGTCATTAAAGGGAAGAACACGCAAAAAAATTTGGACTGTCTCTTCATATTTTTAACTTCTAAAAAAATGTTGGGTCAAAAGTTAGTTCATTTACAGATACAGATGCATGCTTCCAGCTTCCACCTTGAAAGTTCACTGTTCATTTTCATGTTTAACAGCAAGCTGAGACATGAGAAAAGTCACTAATGTGAGAATTGCAAACAATACAACTTTGGTATTTGTAATTTGTCACGGAATCATAAAAATAGGGTTGGAAGGAAGCTTGAGGGGTCAGCTAGTCCAACCCATTACTGAAGGCAGAATCAGCCCTGTCTAAATCATTCCAGGCAAATATTTATTCAACCTGCACTTAAAAACTTTCAGCGATGGAGATCTCACTAGCTCTCTAGGTCATGTATTTAGCATTTTAGAATTAAGCTATTTTTCTCTGTCGCAAAGATTGCTACATAAATATAGGCTGCTGCTCTTAACACTGATTAGCAGAAAATTTGCTAGCTGAACAACAGCAGCGACAAAGATGTGAGATCTCCGTTACTCCACCTCAGTCATATCAATTAAATGTGACTATTAAAATATAGGAGGGATTATTTAAAATAATGACGCTATTTACCATGACAGTCTAAGCATGTGTTTTCTGCCTCTTACTCTGAACAAATAGTATCCACCCATGCACCTCCACCAGTGACAGGAATGCTATGTATGTCTTAACTAGGAAAAAGAAGTGTTTAGGAAGTGTACTAACAAGCGTTAACTACCGTATTTTTAAACAGTGCTTAGTATCTAGTCTAGATAGAGACATTAGTGTCTAAAAACCTTAGTCAGTCCATTGTTTCTAACGCAGAGCCCCACATGCTTCTAATTCTTCCAGAAATTTTACAGAGAAGTGTGACCGTGTCACTTCGAAACAAAAGACCCATCTCTGCAAAACTTTTGTGAACTGAAATTAGCAAGATACAGACCACCACCGTATTTAAAGAATTGAAATGCGATTCTGCAAAGTAGCTTAAAATATGTACATGTTTTCACTTCTTGTTTCTTTTTTTACCATGTGGAGAAAGAGCCAAGCAACAAGCCAAAACCAGGTTGTAGAAACCTACCTAAGGTCCGATTCCAGGTCCATGTGGTTCCGGTCTAGGTAAAATGAATCTGGACCAGCTAGGCAAGGAATGAATTTTTCCAAGTTTTCTTCTGGGTACAGTTGAGACAGCTAAAGGTGAAGGATATTACAAATTGGAGAAGCAAGAATGAAGATGTGTTACTTGTCATCTGAAGAACAAGGAATGGCAGCTTATGAGTTATATGTTTACGAAGTTCAACCTATTTGTTTTTACTGGCAGCACTTCCAAAATGTCATTGAATAAACTCATGTACAGGACCAAACCTTTCCAGCATTTTTAAGTGAAAGTACTTTTGGAGTCCTTTACCTTTGAAATAAATTCAGTCACTTCAGCAGAAGATTTGGTTACCAACGTCACCGAAGAATCAGACCACAAGACCTTAAGAAGCGGAAAAGCAGTGGTTTAGTAATAGTACGCAGAACTCCTGTTAGTTTGGACTCAGAAACAAGCAGGGGTGTTAGTTTGCCCGCTGTGGTGATGAAGGCTTGGACTATCTTCATGTGTGGCACAGACATGGTGAACATTTTTTGTTTACAGTGACACTCCTACCGTTCATTTTCTACTCTGGACATGGCTGCAAGTACCCTTTTCCATTCCTTGACTCCCGTTCACTGCCATTATAAAGCTATTAAGAGTTCTTAAAAATGTATTTTATATTTTGTATAGCCATTGCCAGCTTCAGGAAAAGTTAACAAACACTCAGACTGTTCACTGCTGGAGAAAAGATTTTCTTCCCGTTGTTAACTGAAACAGCTGGTTTGTACAATTTAGGCACAATATGAACAGCAAACCATAGCAGAACAGGGCCTATTTATAAATAATCAACTCCATATGTAATGCGAAGATGAGGATCTGAACAAAACTTCCCATGGGGGCAGACAGGAGAGTGTGAACAATGAAACCTGCCCTTATTTTTCTATCCACCCTCTTTAGATAACGTCTAGTGTATGTTCTAGAAAAGCAGAGATTAGCCTCTCTTCCAGCTTGCTTTTGTAGAACAAGTCACTACATTTTTTACCCACAAAAAGTACATAGGCATTCATCCGTTGGTAGCTGACTGGTTTAACTGAGCCAAAAAAGCACAAAGACTGGATTTCACTGTTGAACATAAAGAATCCCTGATCTGAAACGACTGAGGTGCTTGGAAAGTAGGTGAATCTTCAACAGTAAAATGCGGGAAAAGCTTCTCTATGTTTTAAAAAATCAGGACGCAATCTTTTCATGTGACACTAGTTTCAATGACAACTGAAAACACACACAAAGCTTTTTCCAGCCGTCAGAATGGTGCCAAACATACTGGTAAGAGAAGAGTATTTCAAAATACATTACATAATTGAGGAATTTCCTCTTCCCAGAGTTGTTGCACCAAAACCAAGAAAGCAAGCAAGCAAGCGAGAGACAAAAAAGAATAAGGAGCCCAAGCAGTGATTAGTTCTACAAAGCATCTGTTTTTTCTTTCTCCCATGCTACATTAATAAGTTTCTTTCAAATTTCATGAGCTGTTTTACAAAATATAGAAAGAGGCGAATCTTTTTCTTTCCGGTTTTATAATACAAACAGCTGACATCTGTTCAAATAGCTTTATGTTTTGATAACTTCTTATAATTTTCAGCAATTTCGAGACTGTTGCATGCACTGATGACTGCAAGGACAAGTAATTAAGAAACCATCAAACTGTTTGGTCAGACTTGCTTCCTGTCCCCATTGTCTCAAAACAGCACGTGGAGCGATCAAGCTTTAACCCTATGAACTACAATGTACTGACTTAACTACACAGCACGCAACGTGGTGTCAAATGGAAATCACATTTCTATCTGGACACATATCTATTAATTATTCCCTGCAAGGTTCTGATTACTGTACCTGACATTTGAGGGGAGAAAACCCTCCACATATATGGCACTGGTTAATAAGTGATATTCAGAAAACTCTTCACTGGACAAGCACTTAAAAAAAACCATGTTGTAGTAAGGTTGTAGTGTTGTGATAGCTGTGATAGTCCAGGGAATACGTGAGAAGCAAGATTTCTTTGGTAATAATTTCTATTGGGCCAACTGAATAGCTGAGAGAGGTGACAGATAGGAGAGACAAGTGATAGCCAGAGGTCCAGTAAAAGATATTACTGAAAAAAACCTGGCTTCTCTTAAATGCGTAAAAAAATGCCCTCAAATTCTGATATCATTTGGGACATTTATGGGATTTGCCAAGTTCAAGACAGTTTTTGCTATATTTAGTTGTGCCAAATTCAGTGTCTTACACACCTGGAGACCAAGTTCTGTTGATGTCACCATCTCTTGTGTGATAGTTTTAATGTTTAACTCAATGTTTTTTGGCAGTGTTATTTTAATTGAAATTTTGCAGTCCTTTTTCTCTCAGATTTTCTTTTCCTTACCATCTTCTAAGATTTGCATCTTTGTTTTATAAACCAGCAAAATCTCTATAGTATCGTGTTAGGAATTGGAGAACACATATCCCTGGACTAGACTGCAGAAAACTAGCAGACCTTGGACACTGGCCTTGCACCGTAATACAAGTCCTCCCAGACTATGGCCTGGAGACACTTTGAACAAAGATAACTTCATTGCGTGGCAAACAGAACCTCCCAAAGCTGCAAGGAGGTGGAGAATTCACACTTTCCTCTGGCAGTTTGTGGTTAATCACCTCCACTGTTAAAAATGCCCCTTCTTCCCATTTGAATGTGTCTGGTTTCAGTTTCCAGCCTCTCTTCTTGTAATGCCTTTTTTACCTAGAGCCCTGTAGAATTATATTTGTTCTCTCCATGAAACTGCTTACACACTGTGTGTCACCCATCAATTTTCTTTTTTGATAAACTAACCAGATTGGGCTCTTTAAATCTCTCCCATCAAAATGCTATTCCTCCAGTCTTTGATTAATTTTTATGGCCCTTTTCTGCACCTGCTCCAATTTCTCAACGTTCGTTTGAAGATACAAACAGAACCATATGCAACATTCCACTATCAGTCTCACCAAGCCCAAACAGGAAGGTCAAATAACCTCCCAACTTTTATTCTATTAACCTGTCTACACATAGGACTGCACTAGCCTCTTTGCCATTGCATCACACTGGGAGCTTGGGCTCACCTGTTCATTCACCATGAGCCCTAAGTGCTCTTCATAGTAACTGCTTTTCAGGTTACAGGTCCCCTCCACCCCTGCAACTACACCCCACTCTGCAGGCATGGCCTGCCTTCCTTGGTTCTGAATGTCTAACTCTGCTTTTGGATGTGTTCAAGTGCATTTTGTTTGAAGGGGCACAGCTTACCAATCTCTCCTGATCTCTCTGTCCTGACCCATCCTCATCTTTAGACCACTCAGAAATTGTATCAGGAGTTGTTTCTTATATTTGCTTCCAGATCAGGCCTAACACTCGTCCTTGAGGCAGTCCACTAGAAACACCCATTTACTGATGACTGGGTGCATCTACACATTCATTAATGTGCCGTGGTTACTACACATCAAGTTTAGTATTTGTAACAATAGGTACTAACTGAATGCACAGCATGGGTTTTTTTGTAACACTAACGTGTATCAGACTAATTCTACTCCACATTAGCATGGCTTTTGCTGTGACACACTAATGTGCAGTAGGATTAGTCTACTGCACATTTAGCATCTTGTGTAGATGTGCCCACTGGGTCCTGTCCATTGGGTGTGAATGCTCCCTTTCAGTGTTCTGATTTCTTTATGCAGCAAATATTTTTCTCTCTCACTCTATGAGGAAAAAATAATCCTCAAAACTTACCTCAAAAGAATATTCATTTCTTTCATTCTTCTTGTGCGCCAGTCCCTTTAGTTCCACCTTTTCAACATTCACTGTTAAAAGTAAGGAAGAAAGAACAATAAGAAGGATGTTTCTAAACACAGAAAACTCATTATTCTCATCTGATACCAGAATCCATTTGGAGAACACTGGATGTACAGCAGCAAAGGGGCACACAAAAATAAGCTTGTCCCATTCAGTTTGCAGGAGGGATGATGCTCAATAAAGGAGAGTTCTTTGATATGTGTCTCAGTTCTTATTTTTTAATACATGCCCCCCACCCCAGACCTTCGTTTCTGCACACCATTGAAAAGTCACAGTGAACATAAAATACGTCATTTCTTATGACTTTCCTATTGTAGTCATCACCACAACATCCCAATGCTTAAAAAACATCAGCTGAACTTTGCCACGTCCCTGTAATGCAGGCAAATGAAATCTTTGCTGTTTTGAAGATGGAAAACTGAGGCACAGAGTGATTAAAGCCAAATCTGCTAAAACTATCCACTAATTTAAGAGTGACAGAGCACTTAACATTTAGGGACTTCTTAAGTCCCAAGCAGAGCTCTTGTTGATTTCAGCTACAATTGGAAATTTTCTACTTGAATAATTAAAGTTCAACTACATTATAATTAACTGAAAACAGAGTCTTATAATGGAAAGTGTTAGGCAACTCACATTACTACCACCTCTGCCTATCACAAACAAACATTTACAGTAACTCTGAGCTTCAGATTTTTGATATATCAGATCCATGGAAACCTAACTCACATTTCCAGATAAATAAAAAGTACTGGTTTTACCATCTTGACTTTTATGAAGTTAATTTTACCACTTTGCAATCTCTCCAACAATTGCCACTGCTTGCTGACTAGGTGGACAGACATATACATACTTATAGACAGAGGATTTTTCATAAAAAGGATATTTAAGTTAGCTTAGTCATTCAAAAGCAATAACAATTAAACTGAACCAAAACAAAGTAAAACGGTTCCTGGGATTCTGAGTCCAAACAGATGAGGCTGCAGAGGATGCAATGCTTGTAGATTATAGACAAAATCCACCTCCCGAATCCCTACTATCCTGCCTCTGGCAAACAAAATTACATGCTGTGTCACTAGTAGGACCTGACAGTATGTTTCCTATGTAAATCCTAGGTCAAAAATTTGCAGTGCAAGGCACTTGAACAGTAAAACTGCATCTGGCTACACAAATTTGTTATTTTTTAAATTTTTCTCAAGTAGGATTTCAAGCAGTGCTCTTCTAGCATTTACTTGCAGCTCGTTCCTCTGTCCTTCCCGGCTGAAACAATCATGGCCTGCAACTCATTAATTTGGCCGCCTGAAGATACATTATTGGGTACTGTTGGTTTTGAAGATACCAATAGTTTACATCTCAACTATTTAGACCTTGTCTATGCTCGGTTCTGACAGCAGACGTTCTGGCATCACAAAGCACCTGCTATCTCAAGGCTGTCCAAATGTGTGTGGAAGGACATGTACCTGACAGCTTCACGTGGCTACAATGCAGCGGCAATGCTGGCAAAACATAAGAATGTCCTTGGATGGTAAAAAATGCTGAAGCGCCTGCTAAAGCTCGCAGAAAGTGCTGAACACCTACATGCACCTCAAGCTGGGTGGCAACAGAAACTCTGCTGGATGAAAATTCAGGTTCTTCCACAACTGAGGAGCTTTGAGTGTAGCTGCGCTCAAGGTTTTGCTGGCAAGACTTATTCTGCGGACAGACCATCCTATTATAGACTAAGTCTTAGAGACCTCCTCCTCTTGCATCTGTGGAATTCCATTTGCTGATCTATGAAAGACCTGCGAGCTTGGTCTTGCTATAAGGACCTTCAAGGAATACAAGTCATTATTCCTTGGGAGTACCAGTATGTCTCTACAGCTTTGAAGACTGAAAAATGTTTGAAAATATTTGAATATTAAACCATATTTTATTTCAATTTGGTTTATTAAAAGGATTTTGATTCACAAAAGAGGGTAGAATTACTGTAGATTAAATATGGCCTGGAATTAAAGCAAGGTAAGTGGCTATTTTAATGTTTTACCTGGTCGAGATGAACCCAAAGCATCCACCAGGTTTTTTAAAAGATGGTAGCTGTCATCTGCAAGCTACCATGTGTTTAGGGGGAAAAAAAGCTAGACACATGTAATTTATTTCACCAGTTGAGATGGACCATATTCAGCTACTGATACAGGATCTTAATTTGTTATTTTGTGAGGGAGGAAGAAGAATAGATTCTAATAAAATAATAAAAATAGCATAACATCTCATCCTGTTCCCACTAATGAAGGCAACTGGGAAACTCGCATCAGAATCGGGACTAAGAGAGTGCACAGGTTCTCAGAGGAACGCTACCTTTCCCTGAGAGAGAGAGATTTTAATTGCACAAACTGCTTTAAAATAAGTTTCTTACAGAGCAATTAACATTTTAGAAATTTAGAGTATTGCTACATAATAAAGAGGATGCCCAAAACAAGCAACAGAGGCTTGATAGTGGAAAATTTATGTTAACAAATATCACTATTATGTTATGATTTATGATGACGAGGTCAATTTTAAACAAGGTGTGTGGTTTAAATTAATCAGTTGTGTTATTTAGCTATTGTTTTGAGTTAATGAAATACTCTGCAGTTAACTTATCCTCTGGAAATCATCCCAATTAAATAGGTGTGCTATATAAAGAGGATTCTACTTTATTGACAACTTCATAGAGTTCTCTAATATTTAGCCTTTTTCTAGAGCATATGTATTGCTCTATATGCAAGAGCAATGTTTCTAAAATATACCCATCACCAGCATCTTCAGAGTTTTCCTACTGGGATATTAACATTCAAGTAATCTTCTTTCAATTAGCTAATGGAATTAAAAATGTCACAGGGCTAAACGAAGAGCCCAGAGCTCTTGTGACAGTCATCCACTCTGATAGCTACATCAGAGGTCTTCCATTCTTACCAACATGTGTGGTTACTATTTATCTTAAAGATCCACATTATTAAATACTCTTTCTAAATTTGCAATGAAGGCTAGCTCTGTTCAAAGAGCTAGCCTTCCAAAAGAGTCATGAAGGAAAAGCTCTTATCAATCAAACAGCAGGAGCAAATCTTACATTTATTCCCTAGCAAATTGCCAAAGAATTGGGTAGAACACAGAAGGTGGGCCATATTTATTCAAAAATCCTGGGTTATTATTCAGAGTTGACTCTGGGCAACTTCACTAAAAAGGGTTCAATGACAAAAAGCTTTATCAGGACAGAGTTAAGGTTGTTTGGAGCTTGCTAGGCCCTACCAAAGATCAGCAAACCTCAGACCACTGAAAACCTGGATATATGGAGGTAAGGCACTACCTACAAGTATGTCAAGGATGAACACCAAAATCTAGGGGAGCAACTCTTCAGAAAGGCACCCCCAGGGAGGATGAAGACCCATGGGCACAAGCTAATTGAGGAAAAAATTAGGTTGGACATTAGGAAAAACTTCTTTTCCATAAGGGTATCTAGAATCTGGAACATGCTCCCAGCACTGGTGGCACAGTCACCATCCTTGTTCAAGATGAGGTTGGACAAGCACCTCGCTGAGCTCGTTTGAGCCCAATAACCTCCTGCCCATGGCAGGAGACCAGACTCGATCTTACAGGTCCCTTCTGGTCTTTTGATTCTATGATTAAATGAAAACTTCTGATGTCCCAAGAACAGAGATATGCTATATACCCACCCCACCTTAACTCTGCACCCTGGGGCTGAAAATAGCCTATGGGAAACATCAGCACGTGCTTCCCCTGCATTCAGTGCTCAGTACTGCACTGTTGGGTGACTGATCAGAGAAGTGTAGATCATTTGGAAGGGCTGTGCCCCTTTGACATCTAGCGTATGATCCAAGGAACAAGGTGTCCCTGTATTCTGGGAGAGACCATATGCCTCATTTTAGCGCTGCAGCTTGTAGGTCATGTTAATGTCAAGAGTAGGACCCACAGGCAGACACTCCCAGCAGGGTGCATGGCCTGGGGCAAAGCAGCCTGCACGGGGGCCTTCCTCCCCGTCCCACAGCACACTTACGCCAGGGAGTGAAAGCCCCGGCACACCGGACGTGGTGGGAGGGGTGGTGGCAGGAACGTCTGGCTGGAAGAGGCAAAGAGATGCCCAACCCACCGGGCAGGAGGGTGGGTTAAACTTCAACCGTGGCAGCTGCAGTCTCTCCACCTGGCTCTGCAAGGCCCCCCCAAAGCATGGGGGGGCCAGCAGTTAAGTGGGAAATGAGTACAGCCTTCAAATATGGTCAGATTGAAAGTAGCATGTGAGCTGGTGGTCTACGTAAAAGGATAAAAGGCATGGAAAAGCGGGTGAAGGGAGTGTGAGGGGTCACAGCAGATGCAGCATTTGATTCTGTGAAGTAGGGGAAGTGTTTGGATCTAGAGCAGGTACAGATGGCTCCTCTTCAGTGCAGTTCAATGGCTATAGCAAGAAACTGTGTGTTACAGGGACACGTGCTGTTACTGAGGGCAGAGTTAAGGTACATGCTTATGCACCTTAATTCTGTGCCGCTTAGCTTTCAGAGGCCTGAATCTGAAATACCTTATTTCCTGCTTTGCAAAACTTTTGAGTTTTGCTGAATTCAACACCCTGGAAGGGCAAGCTCCCCTCTGTACGCACAAGGGATTTTTGTCTGTTTTTAAAGGAAAGAGAAAAGCTTCTTGCAGGGATAACGATCATGCACCGAGTTGTATTTTAACTCGCAGGCTTACAGCCAAGCAGGCTGAGTGAGTAGGCAAAAGCCCCTAGTGTTGTGCGATTCTTAGGTGCTACTTCCACCTCCCGTTCACTTCATTATAGTGAAGAGTGTTATGCCATGCACTGAAATGTTCAGAGCGCATAGCTGCTAAGAGGACCAATGCAGACACCATCTTGATCTTAAAATCCTGGCAGTTTTGTGACGGGATGGTTATTGTAACTTGAAGCACGTGAGACCACTGCTGTCTTTCTCCTTCTCCAATGTTCAGCTCCATCATCCCCTGCAACATGGAGCCCTCCACCAATATTTCCAGCTCACCCTTCCTTTTCTGTTAAGTCATTTGGAAAAAAGCTTTTTAGAGACCGAGATATCCCAGAGCTTTAGAACCAGAAGTACTCTACATCAGTGTTTTTCAACTTTTTTTTCATTTGAAGACCCCTAAAAAATGCTGAATGGAGGTGTGGACCCCTTTGAATGGTAAGTGTGGCTATTCACATACTTTTGATTGATTATAATTATCTTCTACAGACCCCTTAGAGACAGTTTGCAGACCATATGTTGAAAATCACTGCTCTACATCACTCCGAGTTAGGAAACAGGGATAGGAGTTCAAGCCCCTAAAAGGCAGGCCTCCTCAGATTCTTGCTCTCGCATCTGAAAAATGAAAGGGGCTCAGACCGGTCTCAGATTAGATGGAGGAGTTGTGAAACAGGCACACCTAGCGAGGCCAGGTCTCTACATATCCCAGACTCAGATCTTGGTAGAATACAGTGCTCTAAATTGCTTCCCTGAAGGGGTTATGAGTGTTGTGCACTAGGTGTGGTAAGTAGCAGGAGATAGAGAGCCTCTGAAGCCCGAACAAAGCCATCATTTATAATAGTCAACCTTAAAAAAAAGTTTGGGGCTGTCTCTTGGGGACTCCTGGCTCAAATGACCCAAAATCTAAATCATGAACTTTGCCCAGCCCTCCCCTGAGGCACACTATGTTTCACAGCAATTAAAGTGAAGACATGCGTTTTCTGAGCACTTTCGTGGAGTGACCCACATTCACCTGAGTATGATAGTCCTCAGATGAATGTCAGCTCCTCATGGAGATGAAGATCATTTGATACCATACTGAAACCAATTTGGTGTGAATTGCTCCATTTATCTCATTAGGCATTTTTATCTCCCATTTTCAAGTTCCCAGCTCTTCTCACCCAGGTCTCGGTACTGGGCACTTGGTACTTGGTACACGGCTCCATCATGCCTCTTTCCAGATGAGCAAGGGATTCTCCAAAGTAACAAAGTGTCCTGGGTCCCCATACCTCCACAAGTTACCCCCATACTGCAAGGCTCACCCCAGATCTCAGCACACATGCAAGACAGGAAAACGTTTATTCTTTCTTCCACTATTCTTAATCTTGCAGCATATCCTGACTTGACCCTCCAAGCCCTCTCCACTTCCCTACCAGCCATCCCATTTATACCTAGGCTCTCAAGACTTTACTACAGACATAATAGAATTAAAACCTTCATCCAGTAGCTTGACAGAAATCCTCCTCAACCTATAGCAATATGTCAAATTGATATGGCTGTCATATGTTGGTTTAAATGTGCTTTAAAAATTAAATGAATAATGACTTGAGGTCAGGCATATGCACATGGGCAGGCCATACCAGCAATGAAATCACCCTAAAAAGGTCACAAATGGCAACCAGTACATAAAAAGAAAGACCAGACTATTAGTACTTGGACCTACCACACAGTAATTGGTTTTATTGGGTGGAACTGAGGTAATGAAACAGCCACCAAGGTTGATGACAAAACCCCCCAAAAAACAAACCCTCAAAAAAAAAAACCCCTTCCCTGTTCCTTTGAATCACTATGAAAAATATTTTCACTTTAATATGCCATGTGGAACGTTAGGGAGGGAGAAAGGGAGTTAGGAAGATACTAGCTATTGTTAACCACTGGTAAAAGGACTAGACAGATGGCCCAGTGTATCAATCCATAAGTTCCTAATATTAAAGTAGTTGATTTTCAAAACCATAGTCATCACACCTTCTTAAACATTCAGTGCATGTCAACAAGGGTTAAACACCAGTTCTTACTAAAGTTAAGAATAGCCTACACATATGAAAATTGTCTTCTTTTAAATTTAATTTTGAGATGATTCTCAGAAGTTGCAGTGGCATAGTTTTTCTTTTTCTTGGTTTCATAAAGGACTTACACAAGCTGATGCTCTTTTCAGGACTGATTTCCTGCAATCAAAGCTTGGCTAGAGATGAAGGTCACCAAGACATTTTTGTACAGAAATAAAGGTTAAATGGAAGAGTGACACAGCAACAAACAGGGGCATGGAAATCTGGCATTGCAAAGCCAAGGGGCTGAGCAGCTGAGTAAAGCCATACCCAAAAAACCTCATTCATGAGAACAGGTGTGAAAACCTTTCAGTGAAAAACCAAATAAGAAGGCTTTTATTGCACTTTTTATTTATGCAGAGGGATGTTTTTGATCACAGCATGCATACAGATTCAGCTTCTGTATGTGGTATGTAGGTGTACGTTCATATGAACTGCTGTGCAAATGCAAAACTTAGATGGCGAGGTCCCCATGACAGGGACTGTGTTGACAGGAGGCTGGATACATTTGGTACCCAAAACAAAGGTGAAAAGTGCTGCAGGTCAGTTTTAAGGCAAAAAAAAAAAAAAAAAAAAACCACAGGTGAAAAATGTACAGCTTGCTTTAGGCAGGGCATCAGACTACATGAGCATGATTGATTGCTTCTAGTCTCAAAAAAAGTTATGAATTTCACTCATGAAGATTGTTTGCATAGTTATAGGAGCACTGAAACATTCAGATAAAAAGTACAGCCAATTAAATGCTTGTTTAAAAATGTTCTTGTCAAAAGCAGCTAATAAAACACATTCCTAGATGATGTTTGCTATTAAACAAAAGGAAAAAGGCATGATGAAGTAGTTCTTTAAAAAACAAACAAAAGCAAACAAACAAACGAACTTTTAAAGGTTTTTAAATAAAATGTTTCTTGGTTTTCAGGGTCTCTGCAATTCTTGTATTCTACCTCACCGCTCCACTAAAATGCTATAAAATGTGCCTGAAGAAGGGTGTTTGTACCCGAAAGCTTACAAGAGCAATTTTTTCAACTATTTAGCTGGTCAAATACAAGATATCACATTTACCCAAAGAACCTCATCTTAAAATGATGCAGGGACACTCTCTCTCTCTCTCTCTCTCAATCATTTATGATCTGGACCCGAGTAGCTGAGCAGTGCAACTTCCATTAAAACTGGAATGAGCGATGGAATTATGAAAGCCAAATACATATCTTCATCTGTTACTGCTGCAACTTTATGAGTGCTTTGTAATGCAGCTACCATTAGGTTTCATTTCATTTGCTCTCTACCTCTCAAATTGCAGAATGCTTTAATACTAAGAGAGCCTGAAGACAGAGAATTTAAGTGTGTGCGCGCGCGCGTGCGCATGTATGTGTACTGTTCAGCCCCTTAGAGACATTTATAAAGCAGTGTATAGCAGCTTCCTTGTATCTGATAAATTAACGAGATGAGAAAACAAAATGCTCGCTGTGAAACTTATAACTAAGGCTATACACCATCATTTATTTTATGCGATTTGAAAAAGTAATTTTAATATGGACTTTACACCGAGATCTGTCAAGATAGCAAAGAGATAGCTGGTGCTGTAGGTCTGCCATGGGGCCTCCTCCTGGGAACACTGTGTTTGAAGAGTATCCCTGAAGCCCTATGTTTAGAAATACTCAGCTGAACTTTCACACTTATGACCTACCAGGTTCTGAATCATTAAATATTAAAAGGATGACACAGAAACCTTTAGACTTAAACTTTGCTCCATGTAACAATCAGCAAGAAAAATACCTTGGGTTCTTTAACCACATATTAACCACTCAGTCATTTTAAAGTAGGACTAATCCAGTCTATTTTGCAATGGGCCAGAGTCTGAACATGGGAAATTTTAAATAAAGGTGTTCTAATGGGGTGGGGAAAGTTCATAATTATAGAGGATCATCTATAGAGAAAGGAACAACTAAGTAAAAAGGAAAGGCGTACTTGATACATTTTAAAAATGTAGTAAAAGAAGTTACAATTTATGTAACAAGCTGACAAAATTCTACATGCATATTGTTCACAGAAAAAAATGACTGTTTCTAGCCACATTGGTTTATATCCATACATCAGAGGAGGGGGAAAAAAGCCCCAAAGTGCAGATAAGCATTACATATCAAAAGTCAGGCAATGCATTGAGAATAAAAGAAAAAAAAGCAAGACAAAGGCTGACAGTTAATTACTCAACGCATTGGTTTTTCGCATGAGGATGACCATTTCCCACTGTTAGCAATGAGCTACATACATTACCAGGCAACCTTCTGACAAATCCCGTCATTTACTTCCAGAGGCATAACCTGCTTTCCCGTACGAAGGGGTTTTTGTCTAAGCTGTAATCCTACAAGACGGACATTACATCAATTGATCCTGCAACCTCTAAGCAAGTGCAAGGTCTGTTTCTTGCTGAGAAAAGTATCCCAGATCATAAGTTAAGTGCAGCTTAACCCTCTGCGAAGGACTGCAGAGCAGGATTGCTGTCAAAAGGCCTGAGACAGTAGTGAGATCTCTGAAGACGCTCCTTGCGTGGAAAGACGGTTAAAGTTTCATAAGGACTCTTGTTCAGTCTAGTGCATCCAGGCTCGCATCCTGTCAGATGAAGATCGGTGCACTTGCTATGCCTCAGCAAGGCACTCAATTATGTATTTAGCAACGTAAAAGGGTAGAAAATCAGTTGTAAAGAAACCATGCCAAAAATTTTGCTGACAGCTCCATCATTTTACAGAAGACTTCCCTGGGTGTTAGGACCCCTGAAAGGAACAATCCCTTCGCTAGGGGAGGCAGAATATGGTTCTTTTGGGAACTTGACAGGATTTCAGATTTATTCCAGGTTAAGAGCATTGGTATCATCAGGTTAAGCTGACCAGGGACGTACAGGCAACACCACTTCCTCTACAACATTAAGGGGTCCCCTTGAATGGCAGAAGCCCTGCTAGCACAAGCCCTTTTCTGCAGATTGACCTGCAGCCACGTTGCATGGTTTTGTCAGCAGATCTACATTACGGGGTGAGATCTTTTCACGTCCTTTGCCTTGCCAACACAAGTGATGCCAGCTAAACTCTATAATGCAGACACAGCCTTAGAAAGGAAACCTGAGTCAAAAAAAAAAAAAAAAAAAAAAATTGTAACCAAAAAAGTGTTCAGCTGAAGAATGGCTGGTCTTCTGGTCACCTCTGCAGCCCATATTTGCAGGGCAGCAACCTAGTAGTTGGAAATGGATGCAGTCCAGACCGTCCCAGCCAGGAACACTCATATCTGAGGCATGCTAAGAAAAGCTATCATTTTTCATTTTTCTTTGCAACTGCACATGCAAGATTCTTCCAATTTATAGAGTTGTTTTTAACACCAATATCAGTCCAAATAAAATGGGATTTTTGATGCCAGTATAATCCTTGTTTAATTTTTAAATAATTCGCTGAAGCCTACAAAGCTCCGTTGTGCAATTCCTTCTGGTGGGGCAGCTTTTTAAAAAAAAAAAAAAAGCCCACAAATGCTAATTTATTTTTGGCGACATATGGAAAAGTTCAATATTTATGTGTTGTATCCCTCGCCTCCATTCAGTATGCTACTATTCTGCAAGTTCCTGTTACTTCCTCAGTTTGGCTCATTTCACTTGCAGATTAGATAACCCTTTCATGTTTCTCCAATACAGGATCTAGATTTAAAAAAAAAAAAAAAAAAATCAAACCCATGCCCATGCATTTTACCTCTTAAAAGTTAAAAATCAAAACAAGGTATGAATTCAAAAGAGGTGAATGGTATTCTCGGCATTTTAGCTGCCCAAAGAAACTGTTCCAGCTAACTAACTGTTCCAGGATTTCATTATAGATTTGTTGTGGGGGGAGGAAACAAAACCCCACGCACACCACTGTTTGCACTGAAGGTGGGAAATGACTCATTTGGACAGGGATATCTAAAACCAAGATGAAAGTCATTCAGCTGTTTTCAGAATTAAAAAAAAAAAACAAAACCAAACCCCTTCCCATTCCCATTCCCTTACTACATATACTGTGTTTGTACACCGAACATGTTGGGCTGTTTTACCACAGTAAATTTGACAGTCTAATCCACTGAACAGACAGTTCCCTTGTATCTTCCTAAATGCTAAAAAAAACCCTAAAGTTGTATGGAATAAATTATTTAAAAGAAGCGGTTGTCTTAGACATATTGTAGATCAACTCCTGACACACTGCTTTGAACTAAGAACAGACACATGTCAACACAAGGCCGTTCCTAAACACGTGCCGTTCCTTGGAACATGCACTCCTCTAGGTCACGGAGCTAAATGTGGCAGGCCTAAAAGGAGTGGGGCAGGGAAGGTTGCAACGGCACAACTGAGTAGTGCTGCAAGCTCAAGGCAGGCTTCAGGAGCCCGAATTGATAAATTAAGGATAATACTACAAAAGATGAACCATGTATCTCTGCTATATTACAGCTACTCTTCAAAGTTGGGGGGTTGAGGATCATTCCTACAGCAATGCAACATGTCTGGGCAGTGATTCTGCATGCCCTTCTTTTTTAAGGGAGTGGAGAAGAAGCATTTTTCCACCTCTATAAGTCAGCGATTCTAAAATGGGATCTTTTTAAGGGTGTCATCCTTCCCCTGCTGTGCCAGCTGCTGTGTAGGGCTGGACCAGGGGCGCCCCACTATAGCGAGGCTTGATAGCAAGGACTGCCATGCTGTCGGTAGCTTGCCCGAGTCCAAACTGAATATGACACCACATGGACAGGATACAGTATGTGCCACCCCTGCCCCTGTACTTCCTACTGGTCACGGCGTACCCCCTTAGCTTCATTAAGGTGAAGGTGGGTGGACATGTCTTCCTCCAGCAGCAAAAAGGAACAACTTCACAGGAACTAGTTGTACAGCAAAAATTTAAGCATGTACATAAGTATCTGCAGGGCTGAGGCCTTAATTTGAAGAATACAATGACCACGTTTGTGTACACAATTTGGCTAATTTATTTGTAAGTGCATCAAAATAGCTATTTGCATACAACTATGGGAAACATGCATACAAAATAGGTGTGGAAGTACATACAGTACTTGGCTTGCCCAATGATTTGCTTTAGCTTGAGATAGAAATGATAAGTAGTGGCTTTCTCTAATGAGCATTTAAAATCTTAATTTTCAAAAATGTTCTTGTGCAATTATTGTGACTGTATGCACATATGCATGATTTGCATACAATTTCAGTAACTGCATATTTTTGTACATACAGTTAAAAGAAAGAGGCTCTTCATCTCTAATCATACAGTCCATCCTAGTGAAAACATCTGAGCGTAATCTAAAGGAGAGCAGAGATGTAAAACTTTGTAAATGAAGTATCTTCTTCTTGGATAAGTAATGTTCAGTTACACAGTGCACATTACATCTATCTTAATTCTTTTCGAGTCACGTGATATTTACTGTCCCAAAAAGAAATGCTTCTGAACATCAGGAATCTTGGTTCTGTTTTCTAAGAGGGAGGCTGACTCAATCTACAGTTTTTCATCCCAGAGGGAATGCTCCCTGTCAGCAGTCCCCATTTCAGTGAAAAACAAAACAACTGGTAGCCTATAAATCCTAGTTCAAAAGTTACATCTGTGTATCAACAAAAGGCAAGGAGCCAATTTCTGTGAAAAAAAAGCACCCAAGTTTAGTTGTGCATAGATCCAGCCATTCTCTGCTTAAACTGCATTAAAAGACAGGCCATGCTAAAGTCCCACCACTCAACACAAAAGAAAAATCTAATGCAGATGGAGATCTGAAAGTTCAGATTTCTAGATGGTCTCAAAACAGAAGTGTGTTGTCAGCCATGGAAAAGCTCAATCCCTGTCCAGCCCATTTCAGAATAGATCTTTGTAGGTAATGCAGTGTTCAAGTTCATATATTCACTACAAGTGGAAGTTTCATTTTGAGCTCCGATGTCCTCTCAACTTGAGGGGGCCAGATTCTGATACCCCTAATGCGTGTGAATTTAACAAGTCATTTAAGTGCTATTCTCTACATGTAACAATATCAGAATCCAGTCTAAAGAAATTAGCAAACTACTTTATCTAGGCAAAAAGAGGAATATCAGTAGACACTTTCCAGCTGTAAAGCACACAACAATTTCAATTTTATTTGAAATGACTTATAGATATATAAGACTTATATATAATGACTTATATAGCCAGGCATCTGGTTACATTCAAAGTTTTTCCTTTTACACAAAAAGGGGCTTCAAAAGGAATAAACTTGCAAATTCAGCATTCTGTTCAGCTACAGGAGGAATGAACATATAAAATCAGTGGCTCTCAAACAGGGTGCCGTGGCACTCTGAGGTACCTTGAGATCCTTGCATGGCACCCTTGAAATGTCAGAACTGTTTGGTGTGCAAACATGACATATGATAAACCCAGAGGCCGCGTCCAGACAAGCGCAGACATTTGGTTTCCTGGGGACAAGAAGCAGCGGCATACCTTGTGCCACTGCTGCTTGTCCCCGGTTTCCCGTGCCACACGGCCTCTGGCACGCAGCAGGTTAACCCGGGTGGGGTATGGGAGGCGGGGGCCAGCAACTGTGCTGGCCCCAGCAGCCTTACCTGGGGTCCTGGGGGCTGGAGAAACTGCAGTCATGGCACTCCTGCAACTTGAGGCCTGGCCAGCAAACGGAGCATGGCTCTGGTGAGCCAGGCTTCAGTTTTGGGGGCACACGCTGTAGCCATGTGCACTGCCCCATTTTTCCTAGGTGGCTTTTTTTGACTCTGGGATCTCCCAAGGTCAAAGCAATGTAGCAAACGCCTGAATGTGCAGTGTGTGGTGCCGCAGATGGATATGTGGCTCCACACACTGCATGGACACACTTGTCTGGATGTGGCCAGAGAATCCAGAAAGTGAAAAACATTCTGCCTTTTTGTGGTCTTCCTGAGTTGTTTGCAACAGAAGAACTGCTCTATTATTTTTCCGTAGACAAAAGACAAGTGAAAAAGGAAGAGCTGGCATTTACCAAGGGGTGCCTTAGGTCTATTCAGGGGTGCCTCAAGTCTAAAATAGTTGAGAACCACTGATATAAAATGTTACCTTCATTTCTCATAAAAAGAAATAATTTAATGCCCTTATCTGAAGCAATACATGAACATATCTGATCTGGTCCAAAAAGGATTTGCCAGTTTAAAAGTTCTAAGCTTGGAAGTCACTAAATTCTTCAATCAAGATCTGAAAATTATTTCTGTTTTCATCTGCAGCATGTTCAAGTCTTAATTCTGCGGTTTGCAGTATGTAGCCATATGTTAGCATACATGGAATCACGTCAGTGAGATTACAATGCAGCAGCTGCTGGGACAGCATGCCTTGGCTTGAAGGGCAATCTGGTGATAAAACACCAGATCACTTAGATCAGATGGCAAGCAGGCTGCTGAAACCTTTGCTGAACAATTTCTGCAGCTATGAAGGAAGAGTTGCAACTTTCCAGTTGAGAAACAAAATGCAGCATGAACACACATTTTAAATTTGCCATCACCACAAAGCTGAGATAGCTTCATCTGACAGCAGCAATGCACCATACCTGCAGAAATCAGAATATAATTTTGTGCATTTTTAAAGCCAGCATGAGCATTTGGGAACTCAGGCCTAAGACTGAAGCAACCAAGTAATGCAAGGAGTAAGGAAATACCTTTTGATGTTGGCTTCAAAATTTTCTAAGGATTATAGAGGGAAAATAGTTTTAACATTGATAAAAATATCCAGTCTATATGCTGTTTAAAAATACCACGTTTGAGGAACAACTCTAAGAGGCAAATATCTTGCTGCTAACATTTTGTTTGCAAAGCAATGATTATGTCTATTCAAAATGGTTAGGCTTTGGGTTTCATGGCCGACTGCATGCAGGTGCATGTTTTTCTAACAATATTCTAGTTTGCACAAAACTGTAAAAAAAATTATTTATGTTCAACACAGCAACTCCTCATTTCCAGTGCCAGTCAGGATATGGTCAACAATTCACCAGGGGAATCAGGGTTAAACACTCAGCAATTGCAGATTACATCAATAATCCTCAACAGTTTTGATAATTCAGAAGGGGGCTGGGGGTAGAAGAGAGATATTTTTAATACATTATTCCTTAAAAACACAATCCCTGGAAAATGGGATTAAAAATTCAAGAGTCTGTGGAGACCATAAACTATATTTACCACTGGATTTTGCTATACCTTGAAGAAAAGCAATGGATCCAAAAACACTTTATATTCCAACCAGTCGTCTCTATGTCTTCCTTGATACCCATCAAAAAGCTCTCTAACAATTCTTTCAAAAGTCAGCCTGCTTCGTTCGAAGACAATAGGCTGTATTGTAAAAATCCTCCACCAGACTTGCTTCTAAGACAAAATTTATTTATTGCTCACCCCTACATGGCTGCTTACAAAAAAACTACTGCCGAAATACTTCACGAGTATTCCCAGCCAATCCTTGCACTATCTAAATGATAAACTGAACGATTTGTCCACAGAGGCAAAAAGCACAGAAGAAGGATCATCCTTCTAGGGTGCCGCTGTGCTTTATGCCGTTTCCTTTCAGCGGTGTGTATTAATGATGTAATTGCAGCAGGACTACCCCTCCGAGTTATTGTTAAAAATAGCATGTGCACGATACACTGATGAAATATATCCAGTCTAGGCAGTGAGGTAATGCAATAAGT